ATTTTATATTAATAAGCATAGTTTATTGGACAAACTAGAGTAAAAGTCATGTTATTTGTAATACCCCAAGAGGTATATAAGGACTTGGTTTTAGACCAAGTCAGAATCATGTTCATAACTTTCTTATAATTATTGATCTAATAATTAATACTTTCCTAATAATATTGTAATAATAATTTTATCGCTAAAATAAAACACATAACATATTTTACCCTAAATAAATCTTGATCTATAAACTAATTAATAACCTACAAAAGGAGACCTTTGCTACTCCAGCAAATAACCACCATTTTAATTGTTGAAGTACATCTCAAGGGGACGCCTTTGGGATATAATTACATATATAGAACCTAGGGACCCTTTTATCTGAAAAGATAAAAGTTATATTTTTATTAATTTTGACCGTAAGTCAGCGAGTAGGCTGTGTGTCATACATATATAATAAATAAAGGAAACTTGACCATAAGTCAGCGAGGAGGCTGTGTGTCAAACAATAGAATCAACTGTAAGTCAGCGAGTAGGCTGTGTGTTGAGCTATAAATAACCTATTAAATAGGAAACTCGGATTGCACGCTCGCAGTACATAAATCACATCCAGATGCACATCATAAAAGTAGAATATTAGATGAAGAGATTGCTAAATCTAAAAGCTTAAAAATTAATGATACTTCATTAGATGAACTTGATATTCTTAAATATTGAAGGTGAATAAAAATTTCATTATTAGTTAATTGGAAACCACTATCCAATAATTATTACTAACAATGCTTTATTTGCATTTGATTGATTAATAAACATTAGATAGTAAAAGAAAGAATTGACAAATGACTAATTTAATCTCCATTATAATAATAAAATTTATCATTATAATTATTTATATTTTTATTTTATTTTTATTCCATTTCTTAAAGCTAAATTATAATATTATTTACTTTTTACAGTTTTCTGATTTTTTATATTACAAGGTTGCTATTTGGTTAATGCCAATTATGGCTTAACTTTTAGGCTACTCTTGTTGGTTCATTACAAGCAGCTGTAACAGGATTTTTTTAGAAGCTGGTGAAGCCAAAACCTCAATTGATTCCCAAAATGCTCAGGTAAATTATATTTATTATAAATTATTATATACATCCATTGCATGTAAATTTGAAAATAAAAATTGGTGAATCAAATTTAATTACAAATTTCAAATTCACATAATTTGAATTTCACACACCACATGCAATAAAAAGGTGTGTTAGGTTAGGTTGTAATCTTACAGAAGGTAAAAATATTGAGGTACTTCAGTAGCAAATCTGGTGCCAAATAGAGAAAAGAACAAAAGAAAAATAAATACAATACCAGGTATATCTAATTGGTTTGAATAGCAATGGCCAACAAAAGGTGAATATGCTACATTGGAGCAAGGTCTTTTCCAAATATAGGTGAATGGAGAAATTTTACACCAATACAAGTTCAAAAAACATCAAAAGTAGAGATTATTAAACCACACCCACAAATTTCTACTCCCATACCTAATCACCTTGCAATATATCAATACTTAGAAATATACATGAAGTCGAAACATTTAATTTCGGGGGACAAAATGGTCGCGACTTTGACCCCCGAAAAGTCGAAATGGTCATATCACATGATTCATTATAATTAATAATTTCAAGATTATTTATCTTGGGAACAAGTGATGAAAACGGCTCATTAGAATAGTCTCGTAAAGACAATTCGAATAATGGTGATTTAATGTCCATAGCATTAATAAATGGCGAGTTATTGTAATATTATGGTAAACCAAAACATCTCAATGATCATTACATCTCATTAGACTCACCTTATTGAGAGAATTCGAATGATAATTGTTTTATTCAAAATAGCCAGATATTGACCAAGTTATGAGGATTTGAAGCTTTTGATTAATTTTCTGTATGTTCATCTTGTTATATGATGTATAAAGCTCTTCATGAGCTGGCTCATGCGGAGCCTTAATGATGTAATTTCGACCATTTCGATTTTTGATTCAACTTTGATTTCCCAGGTCGAAATATTTCAACTTCATGTATATATATATATATATATATATTAATATAGCTTCTCCAAAGTAAACTATTTATTTTAATATAACGAAAGAAAAGTTTTTTGCATTTCTAGTTTCTATATATTTACAAAATGATTCCATGTGATCTTGCATAATGAAAGGACAAAATTTTTGCAAGTTTATTTTATTGATGACGATCCTCCCAGGTTTTTATTAATGGATTTTTATGAATTATTATTATTAAATCATAATGTTGGTAAGAGTTAATTTGATTAATATATGTTTAAACGTTATATAATTTTCGATAATATTATGTAAATAACATTTCTTCAGTTTAATCCTATACTTGAACAAGTAGAAAGAAATCAATATTTTGCCTCCAATTTACTC